AAAATAAATATTAACCTCATTTTAATCTAAATGACTTAATTTTTTATTTAATATAATAATGAAATGTTTGGAAATGAATTTAATAAATAATTAATCGAATTTTGAGTATTAAATGAGTATTAATTATCGAGTTAAGATATTTTTTAACTAGGTATTTTACGCGATCAAAATAAATTGTAGTAGTGAATTAAGCAAGCTATACTCGTAGTTTAATTTATTAATTTTGTTGTATTCGAATTTCTTGTACTCAATTTTTGTAATTAATTAGTGAAGTTTCTTACCTGTTTGGAGATATGCATTAACTGCAAAGAATTGAACTGGTACTCGTTTCAAAAGGTAACGGGCAGGACAATAAATGGATTTTAGATACTTGTGTGCCTCAATTCAAACTTTTATTAGTCTTAATGATTCGGAAAAATTTTCAAATTGATCTCGTTTGATCAAAAGTAAAAATGATCTAGAACTTCTTCTACACTTGGCTTGTTCTTTCTTATCATCTCTTTGAGTCAATTTTCACATCGTTTATTTAAGAAACAAAAAAGAATTTTTTCAAAGTTCAACAATTATTTACGATCATTAATGTAGTGAAATTAAATTTTGCTTTGCTAAAAAAATCCAAATGCTACCATCGTATTGCTTCGATATGTCCATGGTAAGGGTTGCGTGGGTTCACGTTCATTTGCAAATAGTTCACACGTTACGTAAAGCCAAGCAATCAGGTCATCATAGCGTGTTTGTTCACGTCCTTTTTGAGCATGTCCACTTGCCCATTCTGGTGTCCCACGAAAAGGACAGCAAGTTCTCGGTGGTCTTATCTAAATTAAATAGATGTACTAATTACAAACATAGAACTACTTTATGCATTCCAGAATTATTTTATTCATCTTTTTTCTTTCTCTTCTTTGGTAAAATTGAATATTTCTATGTGCTAATAGAAGGAATCGTCTTATTTACATCGGATTCACCATCAGTATACATTCGAGCCATGCCCAGATCGAAAAGCAAAGCTATCGGTTGCTCCCTCGAAATCAAACCCATATTATCAGGTTTTAAATCTCGATGAAGAAGTCCTAAATATAAATTTTATTTCTCGCTGAAATAATTTGTTGATTTGATTAGTCGATCTTTACTTGACGAAAAATGTACCGCCAAAGAGTTTAAAATTCAAATTCAAATTGAATCGAATGAAAAAATACAACAATTTATTATGCTGATAATATTTGTTTTTGTGATTTTGATCTTGATACTACTAAAGAAGAAGATAAGTTACAGAATGCCTGTATCAAGATCAATTTCTTGAGTTATGGAATCAGCGAACAATCAAACAATCAAATTATTATTTGAATAAAACCTTGTGAATGAAGATCATAAATTCCTTTGAGCATTTGCAATGAAATATTTGCAGCTCGATATTTTCTATATACTCCATCTACCTAATAATGAAGGTTATTTGTTACATTAACTTCTATAGATTTAAATTTTGAGTAAAAAAAAAGTAGTTGAAAAATATCATAATTATTTTTAAAATGGTTATCGAATCATAAACAATAATTTTATAGACAATACTTCATAAATGAAATCTTTGACAGGTACGGCTGCTTTTTCTAGCACCACGAATTCCATGCCTTCACCATGTTGATCAGCGAGCATACCTTTATCCAGTAAGCGAACAATTGATGCGGTTTCTGACTAAATTCAAAATTCTGTTTTATCCATTATTTTTTGTAATTTCAAAAAAAATTTTGAGATTAAAATTTTAAACTTTGTTAAATTTGAAAAGTAATTTTTATTCGAGTGGAAAATTGATTTCTTTAAGAATCATATTTGTTGATCAATCTTGTTATCATATCTAATTTCACATTATGTAATAGAATAACAATTTATTGTAATAACTTTAAATGTTTATATTACTAACTACTAATTAATTTACTATCAAAGCATTTGCTGAAATTTTATCCGCTAATTTTGGGATCAAAGAGGCTTACTTCAGTTCCATAAGATATAAAAATATTTATATTGTTAAACTTTTGTCATTTTTGTACTATTTCGAATTAATCTAATCTTACTCTTTTGAACATTGTTTCTAATATGAATCCTTCCCATTCAGCAGAAACATTGCCTGCTTCATTTGCCATGGATTTGGCCACTTTAATGACTCCGTAAACTTTCGTTACAACATCACGCACCGAAAATACCACACCATAAGTACCTTGGTTGATTGTCTCAATTACCTGGATGTAATATATTCTGAATTATCTTTATTGTATCTAATCAAAAGTAATGAAATGATGGAATAAAGGATATAATTTTCAATCATACTATATGTATTAGGAATTTCAGTATAAAATTTTGAATTAATTTTTTATGACTTATTTAAAAACCAAAATATAACTGATAAGAATTATCACAAGCCTTTTCCATAAAATAAGTAAATGAAGTATTAATTGAGTTTTAACATATTTACTTGCCAGCGTTTGTTGAATGGTGCAATAGACTTCAAGTGATCAACTAATTCTTGTACTGCTCGATCTTGTTTTTCTTGATCTTTTTGAACTTCACTACCTGATTGCTCGATATTTCTTAATGATGCTTTAATACTATGGGCAAGTCGACGATTGCTTGGTCGATTTGCTGATACACAAGAAAGCTTTAAAAAGAATAGTTAATTACGTTTGATTACGGAAAATAACAACTTTATTATTTTTATTATTAATTAAATTTATTGTAAAGATGAAAAAAGATTTTATAAAGTAAAACTTTGTATACAAATATTACTTGTCGAGTAGCAGCATTTTTTTGGGCGCTATAGGCCAGTCGTTGGTTACGTTTTACTGATGCTAAAGCATCTTTCTTCCGTTTCTTTACGTTTGACTTTTTCTTCGTTCTCAAATGAAGCATGAATATGATCTGTTTAATCAGATACAAGTTGGGAATATTTACTTTAATTGAACTGATTCTTTTGCAATGTTGTGTTATAACAAGTCAAGGAAAGGACAAATGGATTTTAGCATTTGCTAACTGTTCCATTTAGCTCATTTTCGATTTAGGTCATTGTTCGATTTAACTCATTTTCGATTTAATTCTTTAGATTTTATCCACTAATTTTTTTAATAAGACTTCTTTGCCTAAGTTATGACTTAATTATGAGTTTTCTGCTCATAGAAATAATATTTGTAAGTATTGTACAAAGTCTATTAATTACCACACTTATAAACTTCAAAATGTACTAAGTTCTATGACTTAAAAAATTAGACTTATTTTCAAGAATATAAGTCATAATTAATAATTCATCTAATAAAACATACTCATTTTTGAACAATGACATAACTGAAGCCTAATTTCAGTAGCTTGTTTCTACGAAATGAATAAATCTGAAATTTTTCTTAATTTAAATTAAACGTAAGCTATATATTTGAATTTGAAAATGAAATAATGAATGCAAATTATGATATTTTGATAAGTTTTACATTTGAATAGTTGTGTATTTAATGTTTTTATTTTTTTTCAGAAAAAAAAGTGGACGGTTCTCAAGTTGAAACCTTAAAATTTAGCCACCGAAAAGTGTAGACATAATTGGTAACTAACTTCTTTTTACTTTTACATATATGAAATTGAAAGAGTATATGGGTTAAAAGTGGGATTTAGGAGGTAGTAATCTGCATTTACCGTAAAAGTTGTGGATGGATTCATAATGCACGTTCATTTGGAGTCAAATTATTGCACCTAAAAAAATGTAATGACAGGCAGTGGGGTTTTTATCATTTCTTCAACATTTTACCTAAAATTATATTTTAATAATGTTCTTGCTAAGGTCAAGCTTAAAAAAGTTCAGTCTTAAATAAAGTACTGCTTATCATAACATATTTTCAAAAAGTATATCCAACTTTTAAATGGTCAATACTTGTACCTTTAACTGTAAAAGTGGTTTTTCAACTTTTAAGAAAGTGCTAGATAGTAAGATTAAAGTTAAAACGCAATTTCTGATCATCTTCACGATTATTATCTAAAAAATAAATTTATTTAAGCGTCTGTTTATTTTTTTAATTTGTTATCATTGCTAAGAAGATGAAGAAAACTATTTTAAACTTTGAAAATTAAAAAGTTCTTGCCTAAAATTTGCATAATTGTTGTCAGTCACTTATTTTGCGATATTCATTAGTTTAGTAATTGATAAAAATATCAATTGTTTTGAATAACTTTATGAATAATAAATGACTGGTTATATTTTATTTGATGAAAATCGAGTAGCCTAACATATTTATGAATAGTCTTTGTTGCTTTTGTATTTTAATTAATTTAAGATTTAGTTTGAAGTACAAAAAAGTATCCTATGTGTTCTTGGACTGGTTGGTCACCATGTACAGTATCCTGTTTAAGTAGAGGATCAAGAGCCATATACTCTCAACAATGGCGGCAATATAGATGCAGTAGTGATATGATAATGAACTTTCACCCAAATTCATCATCTGTTATAAGAGCGAAATTTCGATCTTGTGCTCATATGGTAATTTACATATTACCTACCATGTATCTTTATCATTATGCTACCAATTATAATGATATGAACAGATTCCACTATTATATCTTATTTCCAGGACACTTACTTTTGCTTACACTTTAGTTTAATACTTCAGAAGACGGTTTTCGTGAAATCATTTTGAAAATTTAGTTATGCATTTTTTTAATTATACCCGATCTGAAGTGGATATATCTGAATCTTTATTTGACCTCATTGAATCCTGAGTCAGATTACATAAATTAAGCTTCAAGTTTCAGATACCGTTGTGTGTATCTGATGAAGGCTTTTCAGAAGCATTTCAAAATTATTTTTTGCTGAGCATATTTATATCTGGCATATTACTATTGCTCTTGCCGAATATAATTATTGGACTGAGTTACACACGTGTTTGGGTATGGACAAGTCGAAAAATCGGTGAAAAAAGTGAAAAATCTGTCCGATCTAATAAAGAATTATCTGTTTCCGATTTCGAATCGCATATAAATTATTAATTAGGCAAATATTAAATTTTTCTGCTAAGATACAAATTTTACACTATCGTCATAAATATAATTAATCATTTCGCTAAATTTTTTCATCAAATTTGCACTGCTGTGTAAAATGTAATACATATTTGCATATTCAATCATAGGATCAAAGGTTATAGGTTACATCCTGAGATTAAGAAATGGTAGCGATGGAAATGATGATGTACTGACGAAGCCAACAAATTTTATATACTGATTTTTTATAGTATATTTATATGATGAAAAAAAGATAAAAGTTACAGATATGTAAGCACAAAATTTTGTTATCATTTTTATCATTAATCCAAGTATAATCTATCCATATGTGTGCATATTGATCGAACAGACCAGTCAATATGCAAATATTTGCCAAGTACAGATTTAAATTTATTTTAAAAATTTCATTAAACATAATTGAAAATTTAAGTATAAAAAGATCGCATAATTGAAAATTTAAGTATAAAAAGATCGAAATTCCATAAAAAAACTTCATCAAAATTTCAAACTAATGGCTATATTCTTTTAGTTTGCATACATTCTGTCTAAAGAGACTGTACAACAGTCTAGAAAGACTGTTACAGCAGTAAGACAATAAGACCTATCGCATTCTTACACGTTTTTTACTTTCGAAATGGTATTCAATGCTAACTTTAATCCGTATCGACGTAGCTATTCCACTTCTAAATTTACATGCTCGTTACTTTTGCCCGTAAAAATTGTCTCTGCTATTATAAAGACTGAACTATATTTATATAATAATGTGGTACTGCTCATAGTTCCATAATGTCAAATAATTGACCTTAATTACTGTTTTACTATCCCAAGCATTGAGTTGAACTTTTTTACTGTACAAACTTTTGTTCATCACTTCTTAGATATCCCTTATTTCTTAACTTTAAATGAAAACAAAATCGCTACTTAGTTTTTAATGATTATGCTTGTGAATGCTGATAAGTAATAAATTATCTCTTGAAAATAGATAATTTAATAAAACTATTCCCTAGATCTAAACCTTGAAGTATAGTGACGAAAGTTAGATCAAACTTAAATCACACTTCTAGTTGTGTAATTGTGTATGATACGTTTATCAGAGCTTGACATCAGACTTTTTATTCCTCCATAATTTTCAACAAATGTATGACGAAAAGAAATTTATATTTTGGACAATTTTTAAATATAACGAGATAATGAAAATATTAAATTTGAAAGAAATAACGCATCTAATTCATCAATCTAAAGCACTACAGCAAACGATTAGTTATGTCCATACAGTAAAAAGATGATAATCACAATCATATTCATAATCATCAAAAAAATTGAGAAAAATAATAAGTGACAGTATTCAGAATTGATAAGAAAGTGATTTTGCTTTTTTATTGTTAACAGCTTTTTAATAACAAAAAATCAGATTAAATCTACGAACGCATAAAAAATATATAAGCAATATCACTAACTCTTTTTGACTATCAAATAGCCCATTGAAATAAAAATGATAAAATACTCAAAAAATTCAAATCAACTACAAAGGCACAAAGTTGAATGCAGGAATATTTTCTCCATTCAATTTTCAATTTAATCTTGAATAAATTTATAATTTTTTTACAAACTTTTACATCTTTTTTCAAAGTAATCTCTGAAAAGATTCTATTTATAACCACTGCTAACAATATAATCAAGTCAAAAACCATTTCTACCTGAAAATATACTGCTGAACGAAGAAATATGCATACATTAATTCGTAATAGACTCAAATGAAAGGCCATCATCTACTTAAACTGATAGTTTCAAATTACAAAAACTATAATATCCAAAAAGTACTTGTAGCATTATTTTTACATTTACATTTATCACAAATAAAACATGAATATAATGGAAAAACTTAGAAATGGAATGAGAAGTATAGGCACAACGATATAAAAGAGTTAAGAAAAATATTCTTGCAGGATTTACTTATAAAATTTACTTCTTCACTTTCTCAGTTTCCCGTTAAATGAGAGCTCACTACGAGCTAAGTTAAAAGTTTTTTAAAATAAATATCCTTGCATATGCATATGCTTATTTAAGGCATAACTCAGAACACAAATTCTTGAAACAATACAACAAAATTAAATAATCAATACCAGCTAGTCAATCATATAGCCACACATCATTATTACTCATTTGTAATTTTAATTTTAATCAGTAACAATTGTAATCATCATAACATCATAATTATTTTTGCATAAAAAACAATCTGAGCATATTTATAGCCTTTTCAAAACATTTAATGAAATCAAATAATTGCTTGAACAAATAATCATTTAATCAACAGTCCCGTTTCAATAATTTTTAGCAAAAAAAAAGTCAACACATATAAGCTTTAAATTTTAGTATTTGAAGTTAAGTTAAATCAATTTTTTTCGTACCAGAATTTTATTAAATCAACCCTTTATGCAGAAATCCGATAGACAGATAGATCGATAGATAGATAGAAAGATAAATAGACAGATAGATAGATCGATAGATAGACAGATCGATAGATAGATAGATAAGTAATATAGTTGCTATTAATTAATTAATTAACTTATACGTAATAATATTCGGAATCTATCGGTTTACCAGTGATAACTATTAAATTTTCAAAAGACAAATTAGAGGAGAAGTCTAATTCGTTAGAAAAGTTATATTCTGAAAACGGAGATGAGATCGTGAAGAAATACAAGAATAAAATGAACAACTGTTTATAGTCCAACAGATAAAATAATGAAAAAATTTGATTATTCCCCTTGTTGGCAAAGCAGAAAATTCATTAATTCTTCTATGCAATTCATTTCAACTTCGTTACATACAACTGAGAGATCTTTGTCTCACAAAACTTTCAATAAAACATTATTTCTTTCTATCACAAATTTCTAACAAATTTGGCTTTTTTCATCGTTTCTTTCGCTAAGATGGTAAAAGGTATGTAACGATGTTTCTTCTAATTTTGGATGCTTTTATTTATAAGTTTTTCCGTGATTATTAACGTTTACCGAGATTTATTTTAGAAAAAAAGAAATGTTTGAAAAATATAGTAATCAAATGGTTGAGAGTCAAAGTTCACCAATTACGTGGAAGGTATTTGAACTTCAACGTTAATAAAATTTAAATAGCACAAATCTGAAGAAGCATTTCAACAATATTAGGAAATGCTCGTTATTTGATAGCTCTTTTAAATGGATGTTGTAAAAAACTCATTTAAAATTACAGTTTTTACACGATAAAAATTTGAATATTTGTTTGACATTTAGTATTGTTAACACATTTCGTAACCAATCAGAATCAAAATGGAAGATTATTCTGATTATTATTCAGATTCATTGTATCGCTTCTAATCCACGATTTTGGAGATAAATATCATTAATATAATCGCAAACATTTTGCTCTTATTTTTTCACCAGTTCTACCTGCACTGTTTTAAATCACTTGAATCAAAATTCACCAAAACGTGAAAGTTATGACCACTTTAAATGATCATTTTTAAATTTAAGTCACCAGTCTGCATTCGCTTACATTTCGCTCGACGATTCTTGAACCAAATCTTAACATTGTGTGTTGAAATCGGTGGATAACTTTGTCGATATTGACAACTGTTTAGTGCTTCTGTATAATGGTCAATCTGAAACATAGGCGAGTGACCTCGGTATGAGAAAAAACTGCAAAAATATTAATTTCAATCAAAAAATGAGATGTTAATTTTGATTCAAAAGTGAAATACGCGATCGAGCTTGGAAAATAAAAAATAAGGATATCTAAATTCTGTCCAACATAATCAAAAATGTGTGATAAAAATTTCTGAAACTGATATTCCCAATATGCAAGAACATTTACTTGCAGCCATGTTGGGTGTGGATTCTCTTCGAACCATTTTTCGAGAACAGGAAGCTCAGTTAAGGGGTCAAACATCAATCTCGACCGAGCGACAGTACTTGATGGTGTTTGTGCTTGTGAGGGTTGACCAACTGTACCATTTCCATTATTGGTTAGCTGTTGATGAGTATTACATTCAGTGCCAGTTGGTTTCGGTGATGTGGATGCATGACCTCCATTAAGGTCAAATGATATTTCCGGAGATGAAGTAGCAGAATCCTACGAGAAAATGGATTGTTCGAAAAACTACCATACCTTTTCACACAAAGATACTATTATATACAAGGCTGAAATTTCTCATCAAAAATACCGACGATTTCGCATTAGTAACCACAGCAACGAAAGAAATTTTTGAATCACTTTTTAAAAAAAAAATATTACTCCAAAATCAGGCATACCTGTTTGAGAACAGGAACATGATCGAAACCACAGTCACTTGCGCTATGAACACTAGCATCATCATTTGGTGTTGGTGATTCCGAACCACCCTCAATACGCTGAAAAAAAAGGTTTCATTCATTTTTTTATAATGTTGGTTTATTTCTGGAAATCTTTATATTCCTTGCATGCTAAGAAATATACTTAAGATTTCCAGAAATAAACCAACATTATAAAAAACTTTATCCTTGAATAAAATTTCCCAATTTGTAAGAAAATTTGCAGAAGCTAAAATGTCTAACTTGAAAACGCTACTAAACCTAATAGTGTTTCAAAACTTCTCAAGACATTTTGCATATCACCGAAAATTACTTCGAAGTGTACATTTTATTAGTACCTAAATTGAAGAACCACTTGCTATTTAAACATTTTCATGCATGGACTACTTTGTGATAGTTCCTCTAATGCCAGACTGAACTTTTTTTAATATTGTATTTTAAAGTATATGACTCACTTCACTAATTCCATTGGCTTGTTTACTATCCAGTAAGCTGTTAAAGTCAAATTTAGGACGGAATTCATTTGGTGGACTGGAATGAGATTGAGGCTGAAGCAGAATAGATGATTGCGCAACCGACGATGGACAATGTGCTGCTGCTGCTTGATTCGTCTGAGGTGATTTCCTGTGAACAAAGTAAACAAATTTACATTAAATAATCAACAAAATTCCAATGCAAACTGGTTAAAAAGTGAAACGAAAAATATATAAGTATAGTATACAATCAACATTTTAAAAATTTCACTAGTAAAAAATGTAATCTCATAACAGTACGAAAGATTTTTTTGATCAACAGCAAACACAGTCTAAATTAGAATATGAATTACAAATCAATAATTGCTCAAACTCAAGTAAAATATCTATACAACTTCGCTCTTTTCTTTGCTAATATATCAAATAATAAAAAACTGAATATTGTATTTGAAGCAATATATACAAAAAAGAATTTGACAAACCTAAAGGCAGCTCGCTGATTAGCAAACCAGTTGCAAATTTGCTGATACGTTACTTTGATATTATGACGACGATAACTGGAACCATTAAGCATGTTCATATAATTGATTAACTTTTGTCTAGATGGATTCGGATCACTACGGAACCATCGTTCTAGTTTTGGTATCTCCAGCAAGTGATTGAACCTTGTAATGTATGGATTGCTGTAAGATTTATCAATTCATCAAATCGTATTTTAATTTTACAAAGTATTTTGAATTTTATTGCAAAAAATTATAAAAAGAAAATGTTTTTTACTATGGTAATGAAAAAATTATTAAAAATAATAAAAATATAAATTATTTATTTTACACTAGTATAAAATTAATAAAATCCCTCAAATCCCTGGGATATAATATATTCTAGAGCTTTGCTATTGAAAATAATAAAAGTGAGGAAAGAGAGCTCGAGAATGGTTTTGCTAGTATAAACATTGAAAGCTACACAAGATGGATAGATAATCCTATTTCACCCCACAGGACGCAACGATGAATCCATCTACAACCTGAGCTCATTCTTCGCTAAGTTTACCTTATTTTACTTCTATACACACATTACTAGTACGAAATAAAGTCTCCAAATAATCCACCACATTTCATTATATGTCAACTAAATACATAATAATGTGATTTGAAAGTAATGCGACGAAAAAAAGATAACTTTGCTTTTACCATAAAATAAAATTTATATAAATGTAACATGAATATGAGGTATAACTAAATCATTTATTTACATTCCCTGCTGTATGCCAAATAATGTGACTCTTACAAGTTGTCAATAAATAAGTTTTAATCTCAAATAACAGCAAGATTTACTGAAAATAAAATTTATCTCATATGATGTAAATATTTTCAACTTAATTTCGTGCTGGAAGCAAACAAGCCTTAATATTATTCATATATAGAGGTTTGCCGAAATATATATCAGTAAAATATACATTGAAAAAAATACCTCACCTTAACTGTACTTTGGATCATACAATTACCAATTAATACATTTGTTAAATACCAAAACTAGCAAATTATATTTGAGCGATTTTTTGTAGTTTTATATTTTGATAAAAAATGATATTAATTCTGATTAAAGGAAGCTATTACTAACTTCAAAAAATTACATTAAAAAAATGAGCACTTTTTTAATCACATACGATATAAGAATGAATATTTTTTTTCTCCCAAAGGTAATATCTCTTTTCTCATCAAAATTTGCATATCTCAAAAACATAGTTTCTTCCTTCAGACAACTGGATAGTTTTATCTTACTTCTTTTCAGCCCATATCACGATAAAAAAAATTAGCAAAGCTAAAACATCATCACTGCAATATCGCATAAAAAGTGAGAATCGATGCTCTGTGATGATATTCTAATGAATCACACTGATGATAATGAAATTCATTTGCATATTTACCTACCATGTCTGATAAAACCCTAGAACCTCCGATATCTGCCGAAAAATATAAACCAAAATAAGTAAATATTATTGCTTGCTTATCGATTGATTACGACATTCAATCGATTTGCTTGCCATTACAAAGTAAACAGGAAACTGGAAAATATTTGTAAAAAATATTAGCGAAAAAGAGCACTCAGTATACGAATACATCCTATGTACTTACTGAAAACTATAGATTAATAAAATCATCCCTTAAAAAAGGCTTTTGATAAGTTCTAAGTAAGTTTAGAATGACAAGTGATTATCTTTAATAAACACGTCATTAAAACGTATCAATTATTCAAATTACTCCCTTTATAATCATTTTACTAACATGCAAAATATTGCTAACAGTACTCTCTGATACTGAACTTATAAAAACTAAAAATTTTTTCTAACTTTATTTATAATAAAGCAATGTGATATATATATACAATCAAGTATATATAATTATTTAAAATAAATCATTACATAATTTTTGATATACGAAATATAAATTAATAATGAATATAATTTTCGATACATACATAATACAATCTTGATCTGAAATGCTTACCCGCTGAAATTTTCCCATCTCCATCCCATTTATCAGATCAATTTTTCCGTTGTCAAAATGACTTCTTTCCTTTAAAACTTTTTTCATAATTATTATTCACACACTTTGTCCCCACAAATATTCAAAAAATAAACGATTAGTTTCATTTGAGAAAACAAGATTGAAAAATACTAGAAAATAAATTACCAAAAGAAAAATTAACAACTACAAAAATTAAAGAAAAAAGCAAACGCGCATTATATTAGTTTGATAATGTTTGAAAAAGCAGCTTGAATATAACGGACCAAAACCGGTTCGTTAAATTTTCTCTTCGTCAAATCACTCCAAAAGTTCATTGATACCAACAAATTCCTTTTCATTTTCATTTTTAGCTCTTCTCTCTTATTTAATACTTTTATTTTGATTATTTATTTTCAAACTGAATAACTTAGAACAAAAAATTGATTAAATTTAACTATTTTGAAGTACTTAATTAATTTTTATTGGTACTACAACAGAATTTATATTAGTACTTCAATACTTAATTCTATTATACAGTTCCAGTTTTGTTCTTTATTTGTTCTATTTACTTCAAGTAATAGCAATAAAAGTAAGTTTCCTTGTAGAAAAAAAAGTGCTAGAATATATTCGTGAGTGTCACATATTTACTACCTATCACGCCTGACAAAGCCCTAGAAACCTTCGGCATCTGCCGAAAAATAGAAACCAAATAAGTAAATATTATTGCTTGCTTGCTTATTGATTGATTGCAACATTAATTATTTAATATTTCGTTCTGTCTATTTGATTTCAGCAAGTAGCAATTAAATTATCACCTGAAATGGAATCAAATTGACGAAGAAAAAATTGTTGAAATAACTTTCAGTCAAAAAAAGTCGGCAATAATATTAATATTAATATTAATTATTATTATTAATATTAATAATACAATGCAAACAAAAATCATTGAAAAGGCACTTTATACTAATAAATGAAAATAAGACTGTTGCAAGCATTGGATTTCATTTCTGATATATTTTTAACATAATTGAAGCACACATAATTATTTGTCAGACTGTTTGCTAAAGCTTTAATTTATGTAATGAAAGAAAATAAAATGAACATTTGCATTTATTAAATTGAAAATCATTAACTTATTAGGCTCTAAAAGGTTATCACGTATGATTAGCTGTGTATGTTTACGTGTAAGATGCTGATTAATTACACTTAAGCTCAATAATTGTTGAATTATCTACCGTTTATACAAATAAAATTTCAAAAATGGTTTAAAAGTATAATGGATTACATTTTCAAACAAAAAGTAATAATTTATTACGCGTGCGTCAGTGGTTTTCCTCATTATTTATTTTACTTCATAAAATATTATATCAAAAATAAATAATTTTATTAACAGTATTACTTTTAAGTAATTCATTTTGAATATGCTAAATGTAGGCAGGCATAAAGAGTACTCAAATTCTAATTCTCAAGAAAGTTTCTTAAAACAGTTTGTTATGCAACTTAAAAGCGTAACTTGAAATGAGAAATGAAATCATAAAATAAACGAAAGAATAAGTAAGTAATCAAAAAAATCAGTAACGACGCGTACCAGAATTATTAAATGATAATAGTAATAATTACAATAAGTGGCATAAAAAGTTGATAAAAATTAAAATACCTAAAAGTATAGAATAAAATGTTTATACCACATTGAAACAGTTCGATCACATCACTTTTTCACTATGATAAAATTGATAAAAAATAGTTGGCAAAATGACGCCGCGATGACAAATTGACAAATGAAAGTTTATTTGTTTTTGTTTTTTTGCTATCTTTTTGAACTGAAAAATGTACCAAAAATCGTATTTTTTCACTCCATAATATATTATATCAGAAATAAATAATTTCGTTATAAATTAGCATTGTCAAGTACATGAAGCAATACTTAATGTTGATTTTAATTGCAAAAAATAAATTATAATACAACCAAATACTTATTGATTGATCGGAAATGTAAATCAAACATAGTCAAGCTGATCAAATGCAACATTTACGTGATGAGAAACGTGATAAAGAGAATATTGATGATTGATAAAACTTTGTAGTTTTTTAATAAATCTTAAGCCACTTTTTCCTCTGTTTTTGAAAGATTTGCTTTTGAATTATATTTTATCTTCGTTCATATTTGAATAGAATATGTGTATTTATATGATCCAGCTAGAAAATAAATATTTTTAGCTGATTAACTTGAACGAAAGATGACAACGGTGAAAGCCAAATAGTCTAATTCTTGTTCTTGGTCATACTACTTACTTTAAATCAGCAAAGTACACAAAAATGCAAATTTACTTAATATTTAATTTTTTTTTGTTACTATTAACTTCTTATTTTTTACTACTCGTAAGTTTCATAAAGCTAACTAAAGTAGTAAGTAAGTAAGCTTACTTGACTGTAATCAATGCTTAAATCCCAAATGTATACTTTGGAAAATAGGAAGAGATTACCTTCAGACTAGTCTAACTAACTAAATGCTAGTTTATTTTAAGCTTTCTATTGCCATTCTTCAATTCTCATTTCTTTAGACAATTTCTATCGTTTTGAAAGAAAAAAAAGATCTCGAACAATTATGATACAAAAACTATTCAGAACTAAACCGATATTTGTGTAGTACTAAAAATGTTTCAATCATTGAATAACAAGTTTTAAGTGAGCAATAATTTTAAATTTTATTTCTTTTGTTTATAATCAATTTGAAAAAATTGTTTTAATATTTAAAAATATCTTCTTACAAAAATACGAAGTTAATAGTTACAAAAAAAAAAATTAATTATTATAAATGCTTTAATTCAGAAAAAGATGCTTAATTCAGTAATTTAATTATTATAAATGCTTGAATTGTATAAATTATGAGCTGTATTACTTTTATTAAAAATTAAATTCTATATTTGCGAATTTTTAAATTTTTACTTGGTCCCTTTTTTGGCTTCTTTCTCAGTACACATCGGAATAAAAATCGCATAGCATTACGATAAGCTTAGAAATGATTATATTCAGAAAAAAAAAAGTGTGAATCATATTGAGCACAACGGATTTTTGTTAAATTATTCAAAAATTGTCATATGCAAACAATCAGAGAGCCGCCAGCTGCTAAAAGTGAGATTTGTAATGGTTTTTAGCGTGCATATCATAATAGCTGTCAAAAACTGTATCCATTTTGACAGTGATCTCATCATTCACGCTTAATTTTATTCATAATTTGTAGTAAATAAGTAAATAATTAATTTAAAAATAAATAAATGTATATAAATAAATATTAATTTAATTTGTAACACTTTAATGTAAAACTGTTTGGCTCAGAAACTGCGCATAAATAATGGAGAAATTAAGTCAGTATGCAAATAAAAGTGATAAATATAATAATTTACGCAATATTAACGTATAAATTGTAAGGGAAAATCAAGTAATTAGCATAAAGTGGCACATTTTAAATGATATTTAAAAAATTTAAAATTTTGGTAAAATATTTACAATAGAAAGCAGCTTAATTCAGGTTAAAACATCTTAAGAAGAATTAATATGCGTGAATAAATAATTAAAAATTATTTTATGAAGACTTAAAAGATAAAGTGCTGTGAAGCATAATTAAGGAAATAAGAGTTCGAAATAGTGATAAATATCAAAATTACAAATTAAATATAATTGTGTAATAAGGTACTTATATGTACATCGTAAGTGAAACCTTTCAATAATTCGGGTCAAAAGTCAAGTATGTATGTTCACGGCATATTTAGTATTTTTTGGAATTTTACAGGAAGCAAATATTATAGCATTAAGATTTTAAGTGCTTTTTACTAAGAAATTTATCAAACATTCCTTTTTTTTACCCATTTTATTCCTTTTAAAAAGGTTGTTCACCAAAGTCTTGAACATGCTAAGGAAATAATTAAGTTCGGAATTATTTTGCAAAATGACTGAATAAAAATTAAATTAGTGATTCACGCTGGGTACGTGCGTGTGTTACGAACAATGCTACAAGAGATAAAAATCAGAGCAAATACTTATCACATGTATTTTGATTAACAGTTCGAATTAATCACATCATTATTTATGTTTTTTGTATTCACATTTACAACATAACAAAAAAAACAATAAATATTCTAATATAACATATTTTAAAAAAATTATAAATAAGCTCCAAAGAGATTTAATTAATAATTCAAATAAGTCATATTTTTCAAATTATTTGATTATTTTCATAATTTCATTTCAATTTTTAAGTTCTTAGTTCTAATTATTCGCAAGTTTTCTAAAATACAAAATTAACATTTTTGAATAAATTTGCATTCAAAACATTCAAAATAATCAGACTAAATTTTTAGTATAATCTAGAATTGTATAAATTATCAATTTTGTTACTAAAATTAATAAAAATTATAATATAAAAAATCTTTTTTTCATTTTCGATTTTTTTTTTCAAAAAAAAAAAAAAGTGATTTGGTATTTTATAGGCTGAGTTAATACAAATTCTTCTCATGCAATCATTCGGCACAATTTTTTTTATTCTTCGGTAAACCTTTGAAAAAGAATTCGAATGCTCGTAGCATTTACGTTTGGATAAATAAATTTGAATATTTGCGTTGGGATATGCAAGAATGTATTGTATTATATGCAAAATAACTGATCAAAGTGGTGAGAATTTGCTAATTTTGTGGAGCAAAAATTGTAATACATTTACGGAAATGAATGACTTAAAGTTTTTTTCTGCTTTTTATTTAATTTGAACAAAGTTAATCTTTAATCTAAATAAAATAATTCGAGTTAATAATTAATTATTGAATTTTAAGTAACTGTAAAAGATTACTTATAAAATAATTTTTGTAAATAATAAATTATTTCGAGTGGTATTATTATAATTTTAACTGAAAATAAATATAAATTCTTTAATTTCTTAAAGTAAAATTTAAAGTAAAATCTTCTTTTTTTTTGCTATTATTTTTAAATTTTAAATTACAAAGCAGAAGATTTATTGTTATCTAGGGATAAGTTGTTAAGAATCAAATTGTAATAATGCAACTGCTCTTCAATGTAATGATTGAAACAAATTTGAACTCTAACCTTTGATAACATCACTAATACATAATAAATAATAATTAACATGATGTATAGAAAAGAAATGTTAAAAGTATTAAATTTAACCTTTTTTTATCTGAGTGATTGTCATCCAACTGTTCCAACCATACATTGATAGCTTGAATTTGATCAAAATTGAGCATCGATGGCTCATCACCGGATACAACTTGCAAGATTAGATCCTTAAATATTTAATCGGAAACGTATTGCATAATTGACGTACTGACTAAACATAAATGATTGATAATTATAATGTTTATAACACGTAAAATAACGTAATACTTATCAAAAAATCTTTTATCAAATGAATTTGACAAACAAATAATTTTTTGCAATTCTTGAAAATGAATTCTCTCACTGTATCATACACGAAAAAAAAGAAAGAAAACAAGTTTTATGGCATCACAATTTTTGAAATTTAAAAATTTGTTTTTTTTTCGATAATTTTAAAATATGAAAAATTGTATAACTTTAGTTATTAATATCAAATAGTTATCATTTTTATGATCAAATTAATAATCAGTTCTGATTTCTAACTATTGATCATTTTTTACAATAAATCAATAACTAACTTTAATTTGCTGATTATCAACAGTTGCAAGAATATGCGGTTGTTTCGATATCGCTGCTTTTAGAAGCCGTTGCCTGAGATCCGATATACATTGAGAACTTGAAGCATCTGTTGATGATCTGAAGTTGTAATACTTTTTTTTAAAATAAATTACATCACTTTTTGAAGTCTTTTTCAGAATAAATTATCACATTTTTTTAAAATTATTCATTTTATACTTATTTTATTATAATATTTGAGTCATAAAATAAGCTAAATTATTTTAAAATAATTTGTAAATAACTTTTACGAAGTCCAACACGTTTTTTATTGAATGATAACTTTTAAAGATGATAAATATCAATAAATTTTCATTTATCTGATACTTTTCTGACATTTATACCACAAGCATAACATCTTTTATTAATATTTGCATTTTATTCATAAATAACGAATTCTTACAGATTGTTTGCATACTTTTATGAATATCACATAAGATTGTTATTCTATGATAATTTAAATTTATTTATTTCACTAAATTCAATCTTTGTACCCAAAATAACAAATATAAATCATTAAAAAAAAGATCTTCGTAATTATCTTCGTATATTTATTGCTAGCACTGCTGTTATCACTATATTATAATTAATTATCATTAATATTATCATTTACATATTAAAAAATTATCACAATTTATATTAAGATTGCTTTTAAGAGTATGTTTGCATCTATTGCTTTTATTATATGAAAAAAAAGTTATAAGCTATTTAAAGCTTTAAAGATTAAAAAAAAGTAATAATTTTACTGTCATTTGTGGTACAAAAATAGTCCCATAAAAGTTATATGCAAACAGCAAAAGAATTTGCTCAAAATGATTCATTTGTTTTATTTTCAAACTTAATATTTAATTTCTTTTATTCGTATATTTATTATCGCTTAATATCGCATATACAAAAGGATATTTTATATTTGATCTTTAATATTAGACTAATAACTTTTCAAAGTATTCTTGGGCATAATACTTGAACAAACATTCGGCTTTCTAGATGTTAGCTAACAATCGAATACTCGGCATCTTGCCTTGAATAAAAGCTGCTAGAAATATTACAGTTAATTTATTATAATACTCTAATTCGTTTTCATTATTATCATTATTATAATTACTTTTAATATTTAGATTACATATATTAATATTTATTTGCTCTTATAATTACTTCAGTGATTATTTTCAGTACATTTATTACCGTTACTTCATCAGATTATGACTATTTTTACTGTAGAAATTATCAGAATTGATAATACTACTTTATATTATCAGTCAGTCCACTTCTGCATTACTGTTATCACAATATACTTGGACCATGACAAAAGCTTTACTTTATATTTCCTAACTGATAAAATAATAGTAATAATCTGATGAAGTAACGATAATAAATGTACTGAAAATAATGCACAGAAGTTATTAGAACTATAATATCTCTCATACAATTTATTCAATTTTTTGCTAACTAAAATTGTATAAGAGAAATGGTAGTAGATATTTGTTAATTTTTGTAAGCCATACAAGGATATTTATAATTAAATTATTTAGTTATAAGTATTTTTTAATCTAATTTGCCCCAATTTTAAGGAGTTGTTTAATTATTTTATTTTAAAATATTTTAAAATTGATCAAATAAGATTAATAACAAACTGTTTGGTAAGAATTTTTAGAGTGATATAACTGCTAATTGGTTTAAACAATGATTCCACCGTATCGTCTAAATTATCCGTAATCTGATCGAATGGCAATGCTTTCCAATTTGCTACCTGTACCAAACCTATAAATTTATTATAATAATTACAACGAAATAATTTTTCAAACAATACTATAATGCTATAATGAAGTATTGTAATGAAATAATCAAAAATCCAGTATTTAATTTCTACTCTTAATTTTAGTCAATATTCTATATTGTTTACAAAATTATTATGCAAAATTTATAGAACTGAAAAAGTGAAATATATTTAATCAGTATTTTTTGATTAATTTAAAAAATTTTTAAATACTCACCTTGAATAATTAAGCAAATTAGTTTAATTTATTATAGAAGGGAATTTTTTTATTGTAATTCTGAAGAACTTTCCCCAAAAATACAATCGTTCTTTCTAAGCTTTTTACTTACTTTTATCTTTTCTATTTGCGTTACTGTTTTAACTGCTTGATTCATTTTTACTAAAATACTTGCAAGAGATAAAATTCTGATTACTGTAATTATTTTGCAAATTTTTACCTTAGAATAGGAGTAACTTGAATACAGATATTATCTACTGCATTTAAAAAAGCCCCTAACTTAAGTGTATCAGTTTATCAATGCTGTTATTGTCTTGATAAGTACTGCTCAATCAATATATACCAAATCTCGAAAGCATCATTTTAATCAGCCACCTTTTCCTTATCAGTTTGTTAAGAATTTCGCCTTTAACAGTATATTTGGAAAAGATTGCTAAGGTTCTCTTGACTGAAAGCTTATTTACACAGCACATCCAGTGTACTACCAACTTTACTGATAATCTTTTTATATTCTCAAAAAAAAATCAAGAATTTATTTTGCATAAAAATATTTGATCTATAAAAAGCACATAAATAATAGCATGCTTTATGATCCACAAAAGAAGTGAATATGAAATCAAGAATTAAATATCATAAATTTGGATCGAATTTTTAATTCAATAAAAATAATTTTATATAAATGAAATGAATAATTGATTTTGTAATACAATTTGAAAGAAGTACTTTGATCAAAATGTGATAAATATCATAAGAGCAAACTTTAGATAGATGTCTGATTTTGTGTATAGCTGAAGTCAGCAATAAAAATGTCATCAAAAACTTTCTTAGAAAATTTAAAGTCAAAAACAGTCTGTTTTGGAATTAAAAACTGGAATGAAACCACATGTACTTTATGTTTACCAATTCTAAAACACTAAAATTCTCATTAAATTTTAAATCTTTGAAGTATTAATTACTTACACTTGAATTATTAATATTTAATTATTAAACAATTTTAAATCTTTTTCAGAAATAAAAATTTAGCACAACTTTTTTTTTAAATCTAATAAAGTTTTATTTTACAACTTGAAATATTCAAATTTTGATCAGTGTGTATTATTGTTATTTTTTGGTGCATTCAATTTTAAGCAAAAAATTATTGCTAATGGTAACTTTGGTATATTTTATGAAGCATTACAGGTGTAATTTAGTTTCAGTTGATTCTGCAATTTACTATTTTATATTTAAAATTATTACTGCATCAAATTGAAAAGAAAAGTAAACTTAAAATATTTTGTAAAGAAAATTGAAAGTAATTTCTTACGTGAAGTAAAGTAAAACCATAAAAAGCATTTAATAATTGTTCATCTCTTCTTATTATTATATATACCTGTTCCTTCAGATGTAAATGTCTGTAAGAGTACTTAACAGATTTCAGTTATGTAAGTAAAATTCAGCGCTGAAAACTCGTTTTTCTTAACACTTTTCATCGCTAATATCGCTGTTATAAATTTGCTTCGCAAGCAAGAATAGAAAATGAAATAACACGTGTATTGTGTACATTTATATCAAATTAAATTTTCAAATTTTGCTCGAAATTTTTGTAGCAAAAAAAGAAAAAAAATACTTAAACATATTTATTTTCATTTTAAAAGTCAAATTTTAGCTTAAAATGATAATTTTAATTGTAAGAAAATGATTCGGTATTGTATGATAGTACTGGTGATACTGTCATTTATTGTTATAATTTTATTATGCAAATTAATTTTTGTAATAATTATTCATACTTTTGATTAATAATTAAAATTTTTTTAGTGTGATAGAGATTCTTTTATTTATTATTCAGTTAGAAATGCAAAAATTTTTGCTCATCTAAATATGCACAAAAATTTTTTTCTGATTTTTAGGAAAATTAACAAGTTTTAAAAATTTCTTTATATTAAAGTAACTTTTAAAATTTTCAAAACTATTAATCGCTTTTACGAAAAAATCTTTAAAAGCTGAAAATTCTTGAAAATAATGGAAATTTTCAGTACTTTAAAAATATGATAGATATATATCAGTTTAAATTCGATTTGATATCAGCTAATTTTCCTCAAATGTTTCAAATTAAAATTTATCAGTTGCTTTCAGAATTTATTATTCATTTTTTTTCTCAGTGACAAAACTTTGAGCATATCCAAACAAAATTTACTTTTGTTCAAACTTCGTTTTTTGCATTTTATTAATTATTAAGTTGAAGGAAACCAAATTATTACAGATATGCTATTTACCGCTAAAAGTTTTCAGTACTTTCAAAATTGATAATTATATCACTTTAAATTATTATTATTTATTTATTTTGAATAACTGTTATGAGTAAACGACCATATTTTTTAGTGCAACATTTTTTATACTCCAAATCGAAAATTGCTTCAAAATCGGTCTTACAAAGATTTTCGTCCCATATCTATGATAGCATCATTGTTACCACTATTATTCTTATAATTATTTATTATTACTATTATCATTATTATTATTATTATTATTATTATTATTATTA